GTCACAGACACTGAGTAAGTAATGGTGACAGTTCTCAGCTGGAGTCCATTGTTAGCAAACACAGACAGAGGAAGGTGAGAGGTCGGAGGAAAGCTGCCTCCTTTTGACCTGGAAAAAGGAATTTACTACTCCCAGACACTTTTAGCTAATTCCATCAGGGATTTGAGCAGGAGGGGAGAACAGTTGCAGATTTACTAACTCCACTCCCTCGCTCTCATCCGCTCTGTCATTGGTTGTTTGCTGACCCTCGGGGGATCCAGCTGGGTTTCATGGTATCTCAAATCTGCTCTGCTGCCTCTCACTTGTTCATGGGAGTTATTTATGTCTGAGCATCCTGTCTTTTGTTTGTCTTTAACTTTTTTATGTGATGTCTTAAATCAACCAAACGCCTATGTTATTTAGTTTTTATTGTCTTTTCTCTCTCTTACAGATTTTCTCAAACTCATTTCTTTCTCTGCCCTTGAACATCAGTATTGATTGCTGTGCTAAAGTACGCAGGATATTAAGTTTGATTTTTATTTTTGCACAGTAAGAGCGTGAGTGAGAGACCGCTAAGCTTTGTATTGAGCTAGATTTCCGGAGCATCATAGCAGAGTGGGCAAAGACTCTCTCTGAGTCCTTCACACTGATAATCCTCTTACACATTGGTGCCAACACACAGACACAGTCACACAAAAAACGCCAAAATGTGAGCACAAATGCACGTTAACACACTAACTGGAAAAAGCATTTAATTTTTTTTTTCTTTTCTTTTCTTTTTTTTTTTTTTAATCATGGTATTCATGGAAGTCTTGGGTTTCAACTGAGCGTTGCTGCCTGTCTCCTCCACCTCTGAGATAAGGTTCCTGTCCTGAAGGCAGGAATTCGGCGTCTCCATCTGGGAGTCACTAATGTATTCACTCATATCTTTAATACTCTGCCGCCACTCCCAGCTCTGCTCCGAAAGGTTTTACTACGAAGGAACTTAACCTCAGAGCATGTACATCCCTGTGTATGTGTGTGTGCGTGTGTGCAACACATCTACAGTATGTGTGCCTGTGTGTATCCTCCCCAGGTATGAGTTTGCCCCAGCAGGGGTTTGCAAGATGCATGTGTGCACTGAAAGGCATTTATTGAACGGCGGAAAGCCAAGACAGCTGAGTAGCTCCTGGCTCGATGCTGCGGATGTCTTCTGAAAGCCTTGACCCACTTCCAAGTCCCCCCCCCCCCCCCCCCCCCCCCCCCCCCCCCCCCCCCCCCCCCCCCCCCCCCCCCCCCCCCCCCCCCCCCCCCCCCCCCGCTCACCCAAACATGCTGCATACTCTGCCACAATCTGCTGAGCTGCAGTGAAGCTCTGCATGCATATGCTGAGAAGAAGAGTGGGTGTGTCTGTCTGTCTAATAAATAAATTGTACGTGTGTGTCTGCAGGTGCTGCAAGGTTAAATGTGTGTGTGTGTGTGTGTGTGTGTGTGCGTGCAGTCAGTAGTTGCAACACCTTGGGGCAAAGTCATGGAGAGTTGCTGCTTCTGCTGAATTTATTAATGAGTCCTTCATGAGATGTTTCTTCACCAGCCAGGCACGAACATGTTCAACAGCAAAGTGTCTTCTCGTCTCTGTGTGACGAAGAGGAAAGGACGAGGAGACGTATGACTGCACAGATTTGGGTCATAGTTAAACCCTTGCAGAACAATTCTTCAACAGAGTGGTGTGTGTAGGGCTGGAACTAATGATTATTGTATTACTGATTAATCTGCAGATTATTTTCTCTATTAATGGATCAGTCAGTTAGTCCATTAAATGTCAGAGAGGATCTCTATTTTCCAAAATCCAGGTGACATTTTTAAATGTCTTGTTTTGTCCAACCAACAGTTCCCAAAAATGTATTCAATGTAGTGTCAAACCTAAGTGTAGATTTCCCCTCAATACTTGAAACATCTGCATTTGTTCTCCCCAATAAAAACATGAAAGTAGAAAAAGACCTCTATTTTGACAAAATTAAAGACACAGAATAAGCGGTTATGGAAAATGAATGAATGAATTATGTGAATATAATGACTAAGTGGGTAAAGACAAATAATAGAACAGAAAATTACATCACTTTACTGCAATGCAGCCTTTAAAACCAGGAAAAGACAAAACGTCCAAAATTAAAGACGATATCTAGTCTCATATCTCGATATTAATATCATATTGATATATTACCCAGCCTTACTAGGTGTGTGTAGGCTATAGATTAATTTTAAAAATTAATTTTATGTTGAAAGTAATGCTTAATTTTAACATCTAATGTTTATGAGGTTTGAACTTGGCCTGAGGAATGTACGAAATCAGCGAGCCAAACCTACAAGACACAACAGTAGGAATATGAGGCAGCCAGCGTCTTTGTCATCATTATATCAGAGCCAGACACTAAGAACACAGCAATGTCACTAAAACTGAGAAATTTAAATCATATGTAAATGTTAACATCAGGAAATTAGGACGAGGCAAGGGACAAAGTGAATTATTCGGCTCCAGCCTTTGAAGCCGTGCACACTCTTTAATATTTTGGGAGCAAACAGCCCTGGTTTTAAGCTGCCCTGAGCTGGGACGAGGCCAGACGGCTGGCTGATGGGAGTGAAGCTCCACTGGGAAGGAGTGGAGACACTCACTTAGTCATGGCCGTTAGACACAGAGATTTATACAGATTACAAACAAGTGCATACGAGCCTGCGAGCACGCAGATGCAAGTGCACTATCTCACATACAGAGATGCTTTTACCATCAGTAAAGGGATTAGCGCACATTTTGATTTATGGCCACATGCAGAGCAGAAGCTGCATACTTAGCCACATCATATGACGACTTAGTGTTTACATACAACTTATAATGAAAATTCACACATAAAGACACATCTTCTTTTTAGTGGGAGGATCTTTAAGATGCCACCTAGTTTATTTTTGGTGTGTTTTTACTCCTGGTGTTGCAGGAGGTTCCCATCATCTATCATTACTCACCAGGAAATAACCTTTACTCACCTATTTTTCCATCATTTTGAATATCAAACCAGCTTTTGCAGAAGTCTGTGTTTGCTCATTTGCATTGTCAGTGAACTAAAACTGTGCGTTTGTCGTATCCCCCACACACACACTCTGTCATCATATTATCACTCTTCATCTGTCTCCAACTCCTTTGTCATCCGCCCTTCACTCTGTCAGCATCTGATGTCTATCAGGCTGACGTCACTCTGGACTTTACAGCGGCTTGCAATTGAACTCTGGTGACAGATAGATGCACCAGACAGGACTCTACAGATGAATATGTCTGATGGGGCTCAGTATTACACTGTCTGCACAACGAGTAGATTGAAAACACAGTCTCAGCAGCACAGACTCATTTTCAGGAAGCAAAACGCATCATGCTGCTGTCTGAGCCTTGAGACCTGTGCACGTTTTTTACATTTTAATTTCATCTCCTTTTCCATTTACTGTCTTGTACTGTGATTTGAATACAGGAGGAGCTCTTTATATGTACGAAAATAAGACAACTTTATTACACAGACTACAGGTACTGAGAATTTTTCCTGTTTTGAAAAGACAGAGTCGTTTTTGCAACATCCATTTGTAGAAACAGCATCTATACCCTTTTCCGTATACATTTGTGGGGGTTTTTAAACACAGGAAACTTCGTTAAAATGGCCGATAAACTCCTTTACCATTGCCAGTAGTGCAGCAGACGAGTATGCCTTCCTGTTTTAGTTTGTTTGTTTTTTCTGGTATGTCCCATTCACTTTCATGGATTGGCCAGAAAACAGGTTATTAAACAGTAGAAAGCAGCATGGAGCCCAGTAAAAATGTTATAATGATTACATCTTTTTTACATCTGGTGACTAAATGTTGAACAATATTTGCGTGCTTGGACGGAGACAGACTGTTATTTATAGCAGCCTGTTGTTGCATCACACCGGCAAATGGGGCTAAAATTAGGTGTCCACCTGGGTGTTGTATTTCCATCACTGCTGACTGGAACCAATTTGTGTTGGAGCTGATAAATACCTGTGACTACATCAGAGTCATTTGTCCCAGGAGTGAATGCCAGTTGTAATCTTTCCCAGCAAATATGAAAGCCAGAGTGGTTTTTAGGTGTTTCTGTTGAAAGGGAAAAGGGCCAAAGTTTCAGGCCTCCAGGGGGTTGACTAACTTCTGAGAGTCGGTGGTGCTCGGAGACACACTCATTATCCCTTTTGCCATTGCTGTTTTTCTAAGGCCCAGTCATACAGTAGTTATGTGTTTTGGTATGATCTCATCTGACCGTTCCAACTCAGTTGAGGTGGTGTGTGTTAGATTCGCAGAGGGACTTATTATCACCATGAAAACTATAATTTGGGGCCCTGCAGGTTGTCATTAGAAGGGTTAAAATATGGTTGAGAGAGTGCAGTACAACATAATGTTCTGTCAACACAATAACAACTTCACTTGGTGTGCACTTTCTGAAGTTCATGGCGGTCTGATGATGTTTTTTTGCCCACTAAAATGTAGAAAAGTGGTCGAATTAGTGCTGGAAATAATGGTTGCTGATTTGGTAACTTTATTTAAAGACAATTAATCAACTATTTTCATTATTAATTAAATGTATCATTTTTTTCAAGCAAAAATGCAAATTATTTTATGGTCCCACCTTTCCAAATGTGATGATGTGGAGATTGTTTATTGTACATTTAATAACTTGGGCTTTGGGCTGTTAGTTGTGCAGTTTAAATACATCACTGTGCGCTCTGGGACCTTTGATAGGTATTTATTATTTTTTACTTATGCATTAATCAAAATATACATAGTTGCAAACCTGCTGAAGTTACAATATGACGTGTAGATCATGTTGTATCATGCATTATTTATGATTTTCTGTATTGTTTCTGCTGACATGTCTGGATTTGTATGTGCCACTCATGATCAGTGTTGATCTAAAGGAGAAATGACATGATTTTATCTATAAATAAGCATCAAATAATTCATGTTTCTCTTTGTGTCTCCTCTCCTGTCAGGTGTTGTGAATGCAGCGCCTCGCTGTCCCACTGGTATTACGAAAAAGATGGACGGCTCTTCTGTAAGAAGGACTACTGGGCCAAATTCGGGGAGCTGTGCCATGGCTGCAACGACCCGATCACCACTGGCCTCATCATGGTAAGAGAATCCATCCACTGACTCTCATCTCTCATCACCTCCCCTGGTGCTTTGTTTGCTGATACACCTCGAGTTACAGCTTGCAGCCGTGACACTCACAGCACGCACACAGGTCCATACATTCACAGCCTCTGTCACTGGTTTGTGTGCGCCAACGTACGAAGATGCACGTAGGACCTGTGCCAGACCTGTAACTGACCCTGATGCCTTTGGCTGCTTCGTCAGATTGTCTTACAGACCACCAGCGAAAGTCTGAGCTGTTGTTGTGACACAGGAGAGCAGAGAGGTTCATGTGCAGAATAGATGTGGTCACAGCACCGGAAAGCAGATAAACAATAGATTAAGCCTCCGCTGATAAGTGCTGCTGCATTATAGAGAAGACAAGATACTAGCATCAAAGGAGAGTTGTGTCTATTTGTTGATTAGTGATGGAATCACACACATTCAGAGCTCGAAGAAACTGATTAATAAAGCATGTCTGTGTAATAGGATATGTTGTCTTTATACGAGTGATTTATCTAAAGCCAGCGTCAGCACAAATGTAGGTGCAATGCAATTTTCCCTTGGTATTATTTTGTGCCTGTTTGGTAACCTCCTGGCTCCAAATGAAGTCACCCCTGCTGAGGTTGTTGGAGAGGTGCGGCTGAGGCTGTGTTAATGCTGATGAGGCAGCACGGTGTAATTTGGGTGCTCTTTTCAGCACAAAGACAGGCTTGCTTTTCTGCCTGCTTCAACCACCTTCACAAATGCAAGGACATTTTCAGGGCTTTAGTTTGCAGAGGCACACACAGGCACACATGCATTCACCTACACACACACACACACACATATAT